AGTACCCAACTATCAATTGTGAAGGACATAAAAAAATTCCAGTCAACACTATGTGGGTCACCCCCGCCCATTAAAGAGGATGCATGGTAGCAGAATAAATGAGAAAACCACCGTAATTAAACAGTAGAAAAGGATGCAACAACAGAGACTAACATCCAAAACCGAAAAAACTACTCCGTTACATATAAGCTCGAGAGTGAAACAACTAATCAAAACAAGATCTCTATTATTGGAAGTACTTTCCAATAATCACCATTACCAACATGGATGATCCCATTACTGAATTTAAATAAAGAGCAAACAAAGCTTTTTCTAAAAACTTAAATGTCAGATAGTCTGAGGATAACGAAAAGGAATGTAAATAGACTACTGCAATATCAGTAAGAGTTGCAGATTGTTTTATTGGAAAAATAAACGTCTGTTTCATTTCTGAAACACATTTTACGAATAAAACCCATATTAGTTTTGAAGGATATGAATTGTTGCATACGCTATATTCTAATAACACAACCAGAAAAGAGGTAGGCTCATGATAGAAAAAATTCAGACATTATCAAAAAAAATTGCTACAAAACAGAAATATTTCAAGTAACTTCAGTGAGCGCTGAAAACAAAACACTTTTGAACTTTATGTTGTTGCTGTGTTCTTTCTGCCAAAACATATCCTGAATAGATAATTATGCAAACTCATTGAAATTTGACATTTACAATCAAGGGAAAGGAACCTCTGAAGGCAGTTGATTGATTAATTTGTGAAACACTTTCTACAGGTTATTCAACATATTGGTCTACTGACCCCAACCAAATCCCAGACCTGATTTATTTTTCAATAATCAGAAATATTTCTGTCATTAATATACATATTAAGGAAGAATGTGACATGAATTCCGACATTTCTCCCATCTTTCTCACAGTGAGCGCTGCTGTTATTAAAAATCCACCATGTCCTGAATAAACTATTAGATTAACAGATTGGCGAAGTTTTTACCTCCACTTAGAATAAACAATATATTTGTCGATCTCATTGAAAAATTAAGAAATTAGCAAGCTGTATGGACTGAAGATGATAATTAAGCTGAAGAAATTGAAAAACAGGTCTCTAGAGCTTCATGCAATGAAACCAAACTCAACAACACAGAAGAGAAATTAGAATAAATAAAAACAAATCAATTGGTGACCATCTGTGAGAATTGACATATGACAGCCAAACTAATGATTTTCTCTGAAAAGCCACCAAGAGATGGAAAAGACCAATCTAGCAAAATCTTCCATTAGGAAATTCAAATAAAAGTTGGACAGAAATGAATAATGAAATTATAGAAAATCAATCCAAGAAAAGCTGGGTGAATCCATAGTGAAGCTGACATACGTTATCATTGCCGACCCCGTAATGATCCTTAAACCTGTAAAACTAAGAAATATAGTATCATCGTACAGGCATCCATTTGCCTGAAGTTCCGAAGCTATACTAGAGGATATTGTTAAAATATGAAACGTCTCCTAGTAGCTGAAGATCCACTTCCATCACACCAATTTGGGTTTCGAGAAAGTTATTCAACTATACATCAAGTCAAAAATATAAAGGATGCAAAAGAGAGGTGACTAGATGACGATAAAAATATAGAAAATCATAAACTACCTTGTCAATCTACAACAAAATACTTTGGGATACAGATATTGAGACCTATATAGACATACAGCATCCAGCTGTGGGATTATGCCAGAAAGAGTAATTTGAATGTAATCCAGCGATACCAAAATGAAGTACTACGGCTCAACAGTGACCCCACAGAGACCTAAAAATTGATATTGGTAGCAGGACCATTGAAAAATTTTCCGAGAGTCCCTCTCGAACAATTGAGACCATCCAGACCCTTGACAACGCGGATCTGGTTAGAAGACTCAATAAGCTTTCGAGTTAGCTGAGTAAAAAGCAGTGTATAGAGCAAGTTAATATTTGTGTAATGGAGTAATGGAACCCAAGGAATACTGGTGAGCTATAGTGATAATTATCAAATTATGATTTTAATAATATATTACCGGTGTTTAATGAAAAACACATCTAATTATCATGCCAGGTTGAACTGAGAAGCCATCGAAATACAAAAACAATTTCAATTTACCAGAGGAAAGTCAGAAAGTCAAAAAGCTTGGCTACATAGTCTAACTAACATCAACACTGAATAGCTTGAGGTCATCAAAAAATCTTTAAACGATTAATTGGAAAAACTACTCTTTGTAATTGATAAAGTGGAAGTGATATTGAAAATATTTTTCTGTGAGAACCTCCTACTAAAAATATTCTTTTTCGATTAATGAAAATTATATGGTTAGGATAAAAGCAACTATAGTCCGTTCATAATTTGTTGATAGCTCACTGCAAGTTTGACCCTCATTAGAGAACTGAAATACAGAGAGGACAGCTAATATGATATAATAACAAAAACCAAACTAAAACTGACAGTTTAAGATGTTTTCGACTAACCCACCTTGTATCTGAAGAAATACAATACAGCTATAAAACTTTTAATCCGATTATGTAGGTATTTTGAGTGGAAATGAGTGACNAAAATAAATATTAGAGACGTTAATTACTGCCGTAGACGCCGAAACACCAACGAGCCGTAAATTAAATGCGATTAAAAAATGTACTAAACCAAAAATTATTTTCGTTCGTAACAACTTCACCCTTTCAAGGCAAGTTTCGAATATAAACTGAAGCTTTATATTTAATGAATAAACACCTCAGGAACCTCCGCCTATGATTTTACGAGTTTTACAACCGTTTTATGACTTGGACCCTCATTTTGTGCTATCGACAAATTATGAACGGACTATAGTTATATAAATGTTTTTAACGAACCGTCATTGTGATAAAGCAGATTCGATTTTGGGAAACAAGATTTTTGGTTCTTGACTTCTCCATCATCGAAAAAAAATAAGAGTGAAACGCCTAAAAGATTTTTTACAAAAAAACTTTTCATTCTTGAAAATATCTCCTATTCAATTTGAAACAGATTTGTTTGTTCCATTGTCATATAGTTCTGAAATTTTGCAAAAATTGAGTGAATCATCATTCGAAGATATAAAAAGTGCTAATGAAGATTTTGAGCTTTTCTTATGAGTAAAATTTGATATCAGTAAATTACGATTTTATGACGTACAAATCGAGAAAGAAAATTTGTTTATAATAATAGGGTCGTTCAGTCATGTTATATGGGTCATATATTTTGTATATGTTTGTCATCAAGAATACAATGGTAAAAATCTCAAGTGGATGGCATTTACCGTTATCAGGAAACGCAACTTTGTCAAAAGCAATTGGTTTTGAAATATTTGAATAATGAGGATGAAGTATTCGAGTGGACTGGCATGTTCACGAAATGAATAAAAATTTTGTCTACCATGTCCTTTGATAGGTATAAATGCATTTAATATTATTATGTCGAAATAAATGTGATGGAAAAGAAATGGGATGAACTTATTTCTTTCAATGAAGTATTATCAGTCTAGTCCAAAATTCAAACAGATAGATCAATACGTCATATAAAGGTGAAATAATTGAGCAGTTTTTAGATCAAGTCAATTCAATTAAGAATCAAATGATTTGGTGGAGCTACAGTTCCATTTCAATTAGGTTCGATAGAACACCATGCATGTTAATTGAATCAGGAATCTAATGCAACAGTTTTCATACCAGAACTACTTTTCATGAATCAGGAAATCTACGAAATGATATACGATGCAAAACTTCGTTTTGATTTTGAAATTCTCTGAGCTACGAGAGAATGAGATACTGCCAAAAAAATAATGCAAATATGTTTCAGCAGTTATCCAATATCGAACAAAGATTCTTCAACCGAAAATTAAAGAAGTTTTGATGATGTATATTATAATATAAAAGGAGTTATTACAAACAATTTACTAATTTACTAACATTTTCATCAAATCAACTATCGCAACAATTTAACAAATCAATAATTTGAATATTATATGGGTAGGTAAATTTGAACATAGAATAATCTTACTTAACTTTCAAAACTTGAATGTCCTCTATAAACAGTTTGTACGCCATTTAAAGGTATCTCAATATGTTCAAACATCTGAAACGAACGATATCTCAATGATTTTAGAAAAAATTGGTACCAGTTGATTTCCAATTTGCAATTTGGTCTCTTTCCCCTGAGTTAGTACAACGTCTCTGTTGGTTAAAGAAAATGTTCTTATCATAAGAGCAGTAATATATTGCTTTCTTCGTCTCTATTCGCGTATTCTACAGTTTTTTCAATAATTCTTTGAATTAGGTTAATTAGAAATGGTAAAAAAATTATGAGATACTATAATCCAAGGTCCTGCCCTGATATTTTTTTCTCCTCTTCATTGATTTCAAGGAGGAACGATTCAAAAAAAATATAATGTTTGGTTATGTAATAAATAGTATTAGATTATTATGTAATATTATTATGATGAAATTTTTCTCAAAAAAAATAAGGTTTTCTCTGATTTAGACTTCAGCTGTTTCTGAAGTTGAGTAAATTCAATATTTAACTAACCATCTGTAGATTGAGTTTCTGAAAACTATTCTATTTTGATGACTGAGAAGAAACCGAACCACGTTCATGGATTCAGATATATATTCTTCTTCAGATTCCCTAATCAGTAAAAAAATTATTTTAGGTTTAAATACTAATAGAAAACGGACAACCCCCGTATTTGATCAATATATGTGCCATACTTATTGAAACTATTCAGTAATTAGCTCTAATTTTCTTAAACGAAAGTATGGTTACGCAACGAGATTGTGAATGTAAATGTAAACAAACGGAATGAAAAATTCAAATTAGTCAAATAAGTAGGTATATTAGTAAATATAAATATCGCGTGACTTGCGGGAATGTGTACCAGAGGGAAAGGAGAAGGAGGCGAGAATTGCGAATACGCCTGAAGAACAACACTACGTGCTTCATGCGTTTTGACGCAAGCTCATGCTATACACTCACCCGTACAGTTGACTATCTCGAAAACTAGCCCTGAATTGAAAAAAAGAACATCAGTTATTCAGATTTGATTAAATAACTATCAAGTATTCTATGAGGTTCAGATTAGAGACAATTTTGTATAGAATTCTAAATGTATATTTCTAGGCAAATATAGTCAGATTATATTATTAGCCTTATACAAATTTTTTGTCATTTGTGGTATTACTTTTTTCTAAAAAACAGCTTATTTTCTGTACAAGATCACAGAAATACAAAAACGATATGAAGTAACACTGAAAATTCGTTACATACATACCGAAAAACAAAACGTTCAAAATGAATTGAATACATTGAATATTATTAGTTGGTTCACACATATATTAGTTTGTTTCAAAAGTCAATTCCAAACTGTAATATATCAGTGAATTTATTTTATTCGAAATGAGCTACATTTGGATCAGTGCACTTTTGTCAATGTAACACAAGCCGATTAATTTAGTTCGCATAAAAATTGGGTGATTGGGATTTGATGAAGTCGACAAAGGCCGTTTTTGCTTGGTCCTGAATGGCAAAGGTTCTACCGGTGAGAAAGTTATCGAGGTGCTTGAAAACATGGTAGTCATTTGGCAAGAGGTCTGGAAAGTATGATGGGTGAGGCAGAACTTTGACGCTCAATTCGTTTAATTTTCGGACGGTGATTTGTGAAACTTACAAACAGGCGTTGTCGTAGAGCAGGATTGGACCTCTTCTGTTGACCAGCTGGTTTGACCCGGTTGCAGAAAGTTAAATCTTGAATCACACCAGTTATTGATCACCATATGGTAACCATGGTCTTTTATTGGTGGGCTTCAGCCTTTGGGAAGTGCATGGGTGACTTATCGGTGTCCAACCACTGTCCTGAACTAATTAAATGATATAGATATAGAAATAAAATACTTCGTCTAATTTCCACTTACTTAATGTATTGATATTAATACGACCAAGGTTTCGGTTTTTACACCATTCTCAAGTATTCTAACACTACTGACCTAAGAGAAATATCGGGGTATATATATCGGAGAGTAGAAAATAAGATATATACCTACATTCATTAATACCAACTACATGAATTTCAAACTGTGATTAATTGCGTTGTCATCTTTCTAAATTCAAAAGTGGAGACCTACACAAATCTGTTTGTTGGTTAAGGGTTCTATATTTTGAGTTTTTAATTGATTTATTGATTTCCATGGCTTGCAACAAATTTATTTTCCTTCTTTTACTACATGTATGTAAGATTTTGAGGTTTTCCTTACTTATTTTGTAAGTGGAAATTAGACAAAGTATTTTATTTCTATATCTATATCATTTAACTGAAGATGAATTTCCACAAAATAAATAAGTCATCAATATCACAAACTGTCCTGAACATCTCCTGTTGTAGTAGAGGATGAACTTTTCATCACATGTGACGAACCGATACAAAAAATGGTCGTTTTGGTTGCAAAACTGCAAAGAAGAGTAGAGTTCGAAAAGTGAAAGTTCCTGTCGATCGTTTAAATCGTGGGGCACTCACTTTTCGGATTAATTGACCTTTTCAATACGTTTTGAAATATCCAATACCGCATTGGAACCGATGGGTGACGTGCCAGTTTCCACCAGGGTTCTCAAATACTAGTCCTGGATTACTGAAGGTCTACCAATTCGGGGCTCATTTTCGAGACTGAAATATCCGGAACGAAATTTCGTAAACCAACGTCGAACATTGCGTCGTAAGAGGATCCACATTTTTCATAACATTTGAGCTTTTTGACCTTCCTAATACATTTTAAACCATCAAAAACCGCATGGGAGCTAACGCCCAGTTCTTCCGCCATCCCACGCACCGTTTGTAATGGGTCAGTCTCCACCAGGGTCCTCAAATCGCCGTCCTGAATTACTGTAGGTCGACTACTTTGCGGTTCATCTTCGAAGCTGAAATCTCCGAAACGAAATTTCGCAAAACAACGTCGAACAGTGCGTTCATTAACACCATCATTGCCAATTGGCCGGATGATTTTTGCAGGTGTTTCGATTGCGCTTTGGTTCAATTTGAATTCGTAGAGAAAAATTGGCCAAAAATCGCTTAGCGACATCATATAGTGCAGGGGTTCCCAACCTTTTTGCACCTGCGTACCATTTGACTTTTTGAGAAATATTGGCGTACCACCAGACCTACATATTTTAATGAACGTATAATATTTACTCTTCTTGAAGTATTCAAAGGCTTTTCTAATTGAATTCCTGAGAAAACTTCATATTGTTTATTCATAACAAGCTTATAATAAAGGAGGGATAAAAAGATCAAAATGGTATTAGTTTACAGTTTTATTTATTACCCATAGGTCTGAAAACATACAAATAGAAAATTATTAAAAAGTCTGCAAAAAATAATCATCATACAAAATATATTTTTATAGTATTTAGTGCGGAACTTGTTGTTTGCCTGTAATTAAAATATCAACATTAGGGGTAATGGAACTTATCTTCACTCTTAAGTTCTCTTCAACACTTATTCTGCTTCTATATTTATTTTTTATGTACAACAGTTCAGAAAATCCACTCGTAACAAATGGCATCAAACATAGAAGAGCTTGCCGGAAGAGCAAACGGTACTCGGTTTTCATCGGATCCAGAAATTAGTTAAAGATTTTTCTTTGAAATAATCTTTCATGGAACTATCTTCTGTGAGGTCGATAAAACTTTCTTTTAGTTTCAATTCATTTGGCGAGGTTTCCGAAAAAGGATTTCTGATCCAATCCACTTTTGAATAACCTTCAGAGAAATAATACTTCTTAAAGCTTTTAAGAGGGCCTTCCAAGTGAACAATGATATCTGCAACCACATCTGGCATTGGAGATATTTCATTTTCTTCAAAAAATGATGATAGAGTGGGGAATGCAGATAAATTCTCCTCCTGTATTTGTGAACAAAACATGTCCAACTTTCTCTTGAAAGAGTTTATTTTTTCACTGGCTGTGAAGGCTGTGTTTGGTCCCTCTGAAGTCCCAAGTTCAGTGTATTGAGTTTGTCAAAAATGTCGACTAGGTAACCATTTTTCATCAGCAAACAATTTTTTCATGTCAAGATTTTTTTCACTTAAAAATATGAACTCTTCTGATCTTAGTTCAAAGAGACGGTTCAAAATTTTCTCGCGAGATAACCACCTCACTTCTGTATGCAGGAGTAAAGTCCTGAATTTGCCACCCATTTTTTCACACATCAAAGAGAATAATCTTGTGGTTAGAGCCCTAGCCTTTATTAATATAATAACTTTCACAGCATCTGATAAAACGGAGTTAAGATTTTCCGGCATACCTTTAGCAGCTAATGCTTCTCGATGAATGACACAATGCATACTTTTGGATTCAGGAGCAACTCCCTTCAATTTTGCTGCTAGTCCTGTCAATTTTCCTGCCCCATCTGTACACAAGCCAAATACACTTGGACCAGAAAAATGAGTTCCGCTGTGGTATTTGATTCAAGTGGTTTGCAGAAAAAAAACTCTTCTATCAACTCTTCATTATAATCAAATCGCACGAAAACAAGTAGCTGCGCCATGTTTGTAACATCAGTGCTTTCCTTAATTTGAAGTGCAGAATAACTGCATTCTTGCAGTTTTAAAGCCAGTTGTTCTTCAATATTATTAGATATATTATCGTCAATTCGTCTATTTGCTGTGTTATTTGACAGTGGTATTTTTTCAATTTCTTTGGCTGCCTTTTCCTAACACGGCTTGAACCATAACCACAGCGGCCGACAGCAAAAACATCTCACCTATTGTGTGAGGCTTTCCATCTTTTGCAATTTATTAACTAGCAAGGTATGACGCCTTTATCAAATTAGTATCAGTATTGACAAACTTCGTCAAACATTGGGTTTCTTTCTTTAAAAAAATAGATTTTCTTTCAAAACCACAACGAACCTGTAATGCCAAGTGAAAGTAAAAGACAATTCTTTTGAAGACCCAGAGGTAAAAAATGAAACACCCTTTGTTTACCACTGGTGGTACGCGTACCACCGGTTGGGAACCTCTGATATAGTATCAACATCAATGTATAAAGTACAAAATTGTCTCTATCGAGCAGTATATACCACAACACAGTTGAATGAATAATCATTGAGATATGGAGCTACAAAAACACATGACATTAAAACGGGCAAAACTTTTGAAACAACCTAATAGTATTATATAATGAACACTAGAGCAAATAGCAATAAAAATCAAATTTTCTGTTGAAATCTTTGATGGATCATTGAACAAAATATAATAAATGAAATAATATTCCTCTTAAAGATGATCACTTGGTGATCGAAACACGTGTCGAGGTGTTAAAATAACGGTTTGGTGTTGGGAATAACTCCAGTAATGTTCAAATGAAATACCTAATAATCAAGTTCAAACATGACATCAACTCAGAACTCTAATGATGAAACAAGGCTGACAGTCACTATTTCATAATAATTTTGACTTAAACATCAACAAATTTAGCAGTAACTGAGTGACGAAATCTAGGACCATATTGTATGCTCAAACAAACATTTTTCCAACATGAGTTTTCATTTCTCTTATTTTGTTTGGAATGATTAACTTGTGTCTAGTTTCAAAATTTCAAATAGTGAAATTGTATGTTCACGTTAACCTTCCAGTTTGGATTTGAATAAACTTTAAAGAGTGATGGTCACCATGTTGCACTGGCGAGTGGCTATGGAGCCCGAATCCGGTCTGTAAGTGTGCCCGTTCCAAAATTGAAGGTCGCCTCTGTCGGTTGTATTGTCAATTGCATATGCAGGAAATTTTCTGTGAAGATTCCTGCATTGGCGCCGGTCGCCGTAAGTATATCCGAGACGGGCTTGAATATTTAAAGTTAATTTCTTTAGATTTGTTTACTGTCTGTCTTCAAGCATAGCCCACTGACTAATAAAAAAAGTTTTTCTTCCTTATTCAGAGGAATCGGGCAAATTTCGGATATGCAGTTGGTTGGTACCTCGTCCACTAGATGGAGTAACATTTTTGATGTTCGCTCCAACTTAAGATGCAAGAATTTCGATTTTCAATTATGGAATATCATTGACTTTAGGTCGATGATGGTCACTATGTTGCACTGGCGAGTGGCTAAGGAGCCCGAATCCGGTCTGTAAGTGTGCCCGTTCCAAAATTGAAGGTCGCCTCTGTCAGTTGTATTGTCAATTGCATATGCAGGAAATTTTCTGTGAAGATTCCTGCATTGGCGCCTGTCGGATATAATCCAACGCCGTTCGTGGTATTAGCCAGTGGAGTAGTTGTTTTCTGACAGGCGTCAATTCATTCAACCTACTGTGTAAGTATATCTGAGACGGGCTTGAATATTTAAAGTTCATTTCTTTAGATTTCAAGTTTTACCTTACGAGGGAGACCTTAACTGCAGGCAGTGCAACAAGAGTCAGAGACAGCTCGTCATATTTTATACGAATGTGGGACACAAGATCACAGAAGGCAAACAATTTATGGGCAACCCAAATTATGTGCAAAAGTATATGACATATATCCAGCAAGGGACTAGATTGTTGAAATGGATGGCATGAAAAAGATAGGAGAAAAACACAATGAGCCCATGGATATGCAGTGTTTTCCGGGCACTGGAGAGAAATGGACAAGTCAGATGGTTGTCAAGTACTAGAAAAAAATTGACATGTTTCACTCTTTTTTCTCAATATCAATATCTTTGAGTTTGGTCCGTGTTAACTGATATGCACTATATAATAACTCAAACGTACTTTCTAGCTAAGGCGGGCGAAAGCTACTGTATATAAAAAAATATGTAATTCTATAACCGTTTAATTGAGTTGAATCTACAAGCCATTTAAGATATATATACAAAAAAATCAATAACCCTGTTCAAAATCATCTTTGTTTACTTTCAAGCGTATATTTGATTAAACATAATCATATTAGCGTGGTATAATCTCTTGTTATGGTGAAACCAATTTTTTACACAGTTTCGAATGCTTTGCATTTCCTATGAAATTCTCACCTTCCATTTCCTTGTCTGAATAACGCTGCGATCTCTTCGAACGTTTTATTTTTTGTTTCTGGAACTTTCTTGTATGTGAAAATCCAGAAGATAGCCAGAAAAACACTGAATGGCAGGAAGGTGTAGTTATCTAAGGCATTCTGTAACAAAAAAAAGAATTTATTGAAAATTTGTATAATGTATTGTATATTATCATAATAAATAATTTGCAAAACGTCAACACGTGTTCTACTATACAAAAGTATAACACGTGAGTGTAAATAACTTCATTTTATACGTGTTGCGGTTTTTTCAAGTGAAAATCTCACAATAGTGTTATTCAAGTACGTCATAATCTTTATGATATGAGTTTTTTCTTAGTTATCTTCCGTCAGATCGTAAAAATAGTTTTCGACAAGATTCCATTGCTTTATTATTTACATGTAATTACTCTTTAAAGAAACGAAACGGTTTATGTTAGCACTGTATCAACATTGACGGTTCATTTTAAAAGCGGTGTGTTTAATGAAAAATCTTGTTATCTTCATATAGGTAATTACTTTATGAGTGACATTTGAATCATTTCGAATATTTTTCAAGAAATCTTCTCACAGAGTTTCATCAGCAAACATAAATGAATTCTTGATAATATATACTATAAAAGATAAACATTTATCTTCAACTGTAATGGAGTTCATGTTTTTGTAGGGCAGTTTGTGTCTGCAACAATTTGCCTGTTTATTTCCAAAATGAGATATTCAATAATTCAGTATTCAGTTAGGTATCCAATCTAGTCTGATTTGCTTCCATTTCAATGTGAATACATGATTCATTTGCTCTAAATACACTTATCAATTATTAGTAATAATAATCCAAAACGTTTCAAAAAGCGAACATAAACAATTTTTTTCCGTATTCATAAAACACACTTTAATGTGAGATTTCCACTTGCAAAACCGCGACACGTGTTTCGCTATACAATAGCATCTTCGGGCGTCACAATACTCAATAGCGAAATGGGTTCCGCGGTTTTGTAAACCTTCAAATAAACATCTCACATTGATGTGGGTTTTTTGAATAAGTTATAATGTGTATCAAGTATCGGTCAGTTCTATAATTTTTTCCTGTTTCAGTAACCATTTGAGTAAAGTATTTGAGTGATACTGAAATAACACTCACCACGATGGCATCTAACTGCACATCTTGATGATGAAAAAATGGATCTTAATATTTTTGAGTGATCCAATATCGAGGTTTAACAACATTCTATGATTGTTATCATTCATTATCAGTTGATACAAAAATAGATACATTATTAAAATGAGTTAATAAATTGGATTAATTACCGTTAATTTATGAGTACACCAGTTTTCTTGTCTAGACGTTTATAACAAGTTCAGGAATATATTATGGGGAAATCCGATAAACCGATTCATTTGAATTTTAATAATAAATCAATTCAGATGTAATTGTGTTGAAAATTCGCCTTTATCTTAATGTAATGTCCTTTCACAAAATGATTAGTATATATTGGAAGTGTGTTACTATAAATTTGGTTAGTTCTTCGACTAAAGCACACTTACAGCAACTATGAACACCCTAATTGTGAGTAGAAACACGGTCTTTCAGTTTCAGCAAATCTCAATTAAACATCATTTGCGATTTTTGAAATCATTTGCTGAAATCGTTCTGTTTTTATTTTCCCAAATTATGTTCAGATCACCATGATATATTTTTGACTATGAATGCAATATTTCTGATTGAAAACAAAATTTCAACATTGAAAAAACATCATTTCATTCATTTCACAAATTCAGTTCATCAAAATCAATAAAAAGCAACGAGGACATATTACAATTGTTACTTTCCCAGTTATTCATCTCTCTGGCCGTTGTGATCTCAGCAGGACCGCAATACGGAGGCGGTTCAGCCGGAGGTCTTTTAGGCCATCATCAACCTTTAGAGCATCATATAATTGGACTTAGCCGTGGGGGAGAGGAAGAAGAACACTACGGCGGCGGTGAGGAAGGGGGGCATGGAGGACATGAAGAACAAAGCTACAAAGGAGAATCCATCGGTTTCAGTGGTTCAGACTTTAGAACTCCAGTAGATGTTCACCACGAGAAGGAAATCCACTTAAAGGTAAGAAACAGTAAAATAAAATTGATTCCTGGCGATTTATTCATTTCAACAAAGAATGCCACCTGTTTTGTTTTCTCCATTTCAACAAAATTATACAAAGACTAATGCAAACACGTAGTATGGACGTTCAAAATTATATAATGATATCTTCTGAAATTATTTTAATGAAATTTTTATTATATTTAACTCATTTCATTATTATACTTGAAACTCTACTTCGACAGTCACGAAATTGAAATGTTGTTATGGATAGCGGTTTGAATAAACACTTAATAACAATTTATACTCGATTCCCAATAAAATACTTTCACCTGATTTGGTGCATTACCTGAAAAATTCTGATCAAGTTCTAACAATTTATCCGCGTAGTTTCTGAAAGAAAATCCAACATTATATTCTTTATTCTTTCCTTTATATCACATAGTAATTTTTCAGTTTACCGTCTACTATCTGCACATTCGAAAACAGTGAGGACGATTACAAGAACCGAGAATCATGGGATCGACAAAAGACTCAAATATCGAAAATTAATGAGGCGTTCCACGGCAGTTCATTGCAAAGCCATTGCATCATCATAGTGGTAATTATGTTTTTTTTTCAAAGGCCAAACCTGAGTACCACTATGATTACCACGTAGCAGACCATAAGCACAAGGATTACAAGAGCAAGCATGAAACCCGTGACGGTTACAAAGTGAAGGGTACCTATAGCCTCTTGGAACCAGACCACAAGACCATTAGGGTGATAGACTATGTTTCAGACAAGAAACTTGGTTTCATCGCTAAGGTTTCTTACAAAAAACATCAGTAAATAAGTTCGGGGCTGTTAAAACTGTTATCTTGTTGTATTTTGTTTCAGTTATGTAGTTCTAATTTATTTTATTGTCGTTAACTTGTTTTATTGCGAAAATATAAATGAATATAGAATACATTCACTTCTTTTCATGAATTTCACATTTCAAAAGTCTGTGAATGCTACTTGTGATAGACCACCTTGTGATGAGACTAATACCAATTATGATGCAAGACCTTGCCAAAGAATTGTTCAGGGTTCAGTTATTGGTTGGTATTAGAAAGAAGACGTTGAGTTCGGTTACGGACATTATTTTTTTTTATTTGAAAATAACCGCATCAACCTTATGGTTATTAGCGGCGGAAAAATATTTTCAAGCAGTAACTATATTGATTACAACATTATATTTTGTGAGATAAGTTCAGAGCACTTAAATAATTCAAAATATTGCTAGCACTAAAATAGCTCAAGGTTCCCTGCGATTCCGTCGATATTTTGCACATTTCCCTTTCTAATTGAAACACTGGACACTGCACGATGATGTGATGTATTGTTAGTGCAACTTCACAAATGTGGCACTTTGGTTGATCTGCTAGAGATATCAAGTTTTCATGGGTTAGTTTGGTGTGTTCTAATCGAAGACGGGTGATTATAACTTGTTCCCTTCTTTTCAGTGTTCCATAGTTCCATGGTCCGACTTTGGGTTTCCATTCTCTCAGTTTGGATGGGGTACTCTGCCATTCAATGTTCCACTTACTCAACAATAAGCTTTTGAAGTATTGTTTCAAGTCCGTATGAGGGCTATACCTTGTTGTTCCTTGGTTCGGATTATCAATCCCTTCACGAGCATAAAAGTCAGCACCCTCGTTTCCAATAATCCCCACATGCGAAGGAACCCAAAGTAGGATGATTTTCTTCCTGAGCGATTGGAGTTCGAAAAATTGTTGTTTGATAAGTAAAACAATAGGGTGTTTGATATATATATCCGTTGAAGGAGTTGTAAGGCACTGAGAAAGTCTGAAATGATTGAAACAGTGTCCGATGCACTTGACTTAGCGTACTGGAGAGCTTGAAGGATGGCGAATAATTCTCTAGCTAGTATTGTTGCTGTTTCTGGAAGTTTGAAGGTCAATGCAGCATAGTCAGTCACTACTGCAGCTCCTACACTAAGATGAGTTTTGAATGAGTCTGTGTATATTTCTTCAGGGTGGTCGAATTGGTCCAGGATTTGTCGAAAATTTTGTTTGATGGAGTTCTTATTTGTATCGTGTTTGGGAAACTGGGATAGGAGAGTGTTTATGATAGGAGTCTGTATGAGCCATGGTGGTGCAAATTTGATATTTGTGGGGTACAGGGTTGGAAATGACTCCAATTGTAAAGAACTTACTTGTCGTCGGATCATCTCGTAAAATGGAAGATCAGTTCTTGGTCGACAGTAACTTGTTGGAAATCGATTTGTTATTGTATTCCTGTAAGTGGGAATGTTTTTCATAGATGCAACTGCGGCAGCATATGACAAACTCAATTGGGTTCTGCGAAAACTCAGGGAAGGTTCTCCTATTTCACAGTAGAGGCTTTCCACTGGCGTGGTCCTATACGCTCCTGCGATTATGCGCAGAGCAGAAAGATGTATTGAATCCAGTTGAGATAGTGTTCTTCGTTTAACAGAAGCATATGCAATACAACCATAATCTAGTTTAGAGCGTATTAAAGATCGGTACTGCAGTAGCAGTGTTGAACCTTCTGCACCCCATTGTTCATGAGCTAGGTGTTTGAGTAAGTCTATTCCTTTTTGGCATGATAGCACTAGATGTTTGACATACAGCTTCCAATTTAATTGTTGGTCAAATATCATCCCTAAGAATCTGCTGTGTGTTACGAATGTTAATTTTGAGTTATTCATTTTCATTGCTGGTGAGTTCTCGAATTTTTTTTGAGAATATAATGCAGTTCGTTTTTTCTGTAGAAAAATTGAATCCTGTGATTTTGAACCATTTTTCTAGAGAACCTATGTGGAGCTGTAACAGTTTAGCTAGGTTATGGATATTCTTTCCTTTGACAAATAATAGATCATTGGTCAATAGCGAGGGTGGGTTCAATGATAAGCAAAATAGCTGCAAAAGCAAACATATGAGATGAAACAAAAGCCCAAGAAAAACATTCGTTATCCAACACGAGGCAGCACTGTTTCGATCCGCCAAGGTAATATCAGTGGTGCTAGGATAAACCACGAAAGCATTGCTGGACTCAACTGTCAAAGAACAAAACTGATTGAGTGAAGGCTATGACATCTCCCCTTATGAAAATACCATCTATGGGATCGACAGAATACTCAATTCACGAGTATCATGAGTAAACCAGGCTTTCAAAGGAGATTTGTTACAAAGTCGCCGAAAAGAATTGTCTTCCACTGCGAAGCAAGTAGATAAAACCACAAGACAGAAATCACAATCCAATATCTGACAGTATTGTTTCGACCTGTCAAGGTCTCATTATTGATGCTAGGTAGAATATTGATTCAGTGTATATCCTTAAAAGACAAGTCTGAGTGAGTGAGGACGATTACAAGAACCGAGAATCATGGGATCGACAAAAGACTCAAATATCGAAAATTAATGAGGCGTTCCACGGCAGTTCATTGCAAAGCTGAGCTTCGATATCGACCGCCGAATGAGATTGGTGGTTCAGTCTAAAACCACTGTTAGAGAACTTGGCGGGTCGAATTAGCACTTCTGGTATTGGATAACGAATGCTTGGCTTTGCAATTGACTGTCTTGGGAAGCCTGGTTTATCTTTGATATTCAAGGATTAGGTTCTCTGTCGATTCTACAGATGGCGTCTTCGTAAGGAAAGATGTCATTAACCTTACCCACTCAGGCTTGTCTTTTATGGACAACCCGATGAAAGATCTTTCCGAAAGGTCTTGGGACGATTCGTTGAAACTGGATCTATTAATTATTCCAAACATGAGCGCATCAAGCCAGCTACTAATGAAGATAATGAATTGCAAGTTCTTCTTGCTGTTGAAGAAGATCCTAGTAGGAGTCAACGACAAATTGGGGAAATAGTGGATATAAGTGAGAGATCAGTGCAACGAGTATTGAAGAAACATCGCTTGCATCCATACCACGTTCAGTTACATCAAGAACTACTGTATGCTGATTTCGAGAAAAGAGTGAGATTTTGCAATTGGGCCATGAACAAAATTCGTCGAAACGAATA